GGCGCTGCGCCAAGTTCAACATCCCTGAACTGATCTTCAGACTCCGTTTGGGCGCTCCACATTGCGCTGTACTGAGCAACCGCGTCATCTTTGCGGCGTTGAAATAGCCGCACTGCACCCAGCCGGCCGACCTTATCAGTAGTCGCCGGAAGACCTGCGCGATCGCGCACTGGAGTTGAAATCAGCTCTTCTGCGAGCGCGCGGCTCTGTGACCGCTTTTCGGGATGCTTTAGCGCTGGTTTGACGCCGCACGCCGCTAGCAGCGTATAGGTCAGTTTATTCAGCGGAAAGCTTAGCGGACATAAATAGCGACGCTCGCGCGGCGCTTGCGACAAAATGCACCAATTGTCCTGCTGCGTGAACCCCTCCGGGCAAGCGCTCAAATCAATGGTGGGCGCGGACGGCTGCGGCTCGCGCGCGTCCAACTGCGCGAGAAGAAAGTCGCGGACCTTCTCGGCGCTGTCCTCGTGTGAGACGCGGCGCAGAAAGTAGTCGCTGGGCGATGCGAAGCCCGGGCGCTCACACAGCTTCAACGAGCCCCACACGAAAGACTGGAGCACGGTGTTCTTTTTAAGAAAGTGGTGTTCGAGGTTGAACACGTTGAAGTGTTGCGCAAAGCTCTGCGGCGGAGATCGCGCGTTGTCCGTCTGCAGCTCGCCGTCGGCGTTGTACACGCAGTCGGAGAACGGGTTGCAGCCCTGCTCGCAGATAATACCGCAGAAACCGTTCACGCACACGTACTCGTTGCGCCGGAAAGGCTCGAACGCGACATCGCACTGCGCAGACGCGGCCACAGCATCCACTTCGCTGAACCCCGCGTCGGTCACGTCACACTGATCCTCGAAGCGCGGGTGGCACTGCCCGTTGGCGACGCGCCAGTTTTTGGGGCAGATCTGCAGCTGCGAATAGAACGGCGCTCCTGCATGCGCGTAACTGCGCGCAAACCGAGCCACTGCGCCTGCTTCGAGCTCGAAATCGAGCGCGGGGTCGAAGCCGTGCAGACACTTGCCGTCGAGAAAGGCAAAGCCCGCAGGGCATTCCGAGTAGTTCTTGACGTGTTCGAGCCGCAGCGGATCAAAGGGCTGGCCGGTGAATTGGGTCGAGATTCGTTCTACTACGCGCAGAAAGTCCTGCTCGAGCTGTGGTGTGGCGTCGGGAAATTTCGCCGCGATCAGGTGTCGGAAAATTTGCAAGTTCATTCATTTGCAAACAAAAAGCGAGATTAATGGCTTCGCTGAAATATTGAACAAATGCAATGGCCAGAAATAAGAGATCGTCGATATTCTTGACCAGTTGTTTCCTGACGCTGCTGTTGTTCGACATAGTGCAGGTAAGTGCCAAATCGCGTAATCGAGATGTGCGTCAGCCTGATTAGCTGGAAAGGGCAGTGCGACCGGCCGCTCGCGCCGCTACTTCTGATCAACTGTTTGCTGTCGGTGCCCAGCTCGCTGTTGATAGCGTGGATCAGCAACAAGCGCGTTGCCCTGCTAGCGGAGATTGCCGCGTTCGTCGGCAGCGTAGCCGTAAGTTGTCGTAGCGTAACAGCAGACGACGGCTGTCCTTACGTACTTGGTGAACACGACGCTTCTGTGCCAAAGCACAAGTCCGGTGCTCTGGTAAGTGCGCTGCGCGACGACGCAGGTGGGTGGCGTTTGTGTCGACTGCAACCGCGTGGACGCTGATGGTCGGTCTGCTTATCACAGTTATCCTGGTCGCAGCATTCAGCACGATCCTAGTGGGCCCGCAGCAGAAGCAGCAGTAGAAAGAGCCCGCGCACCTGCTGCCTAACGCGATAGCTGCAGCGCCGCACGTTGACCAGCAAGCTCGCGCCGGGTTTCAGCTCTTCCAATGCACTGGCTTCTGTCGCTGGCGCGGCGGGCGGGGGCGCGCTTGCTGCATCTCCAGCAGCGGCGCGGCGCGGCTCAACGACCAGCGTTACGTTGCACGCGTTCGCGTTGAACACAAGAACGGAGTGCAGTGTGCAGTCGGTCGCTGGGTCGAACAACTTCTCGCTAGAGCAGCCAGTGCCCGTCAACAAATAGTCCAGGCGGAACTCCGCCGAGTAGGCGAAGGTTCCGTGGAAGTGCTTATTCAGCTCAAACGGCAGCGTCACGGCGCGCGCCAGCGCGCGTCCCGCCGTCTCCGACACACGGCCGAGATCCGCTCTAGAGAGACAGTAGGCGAAGTAGGTCTTGCTCTGCGCATCCTCCTGACCGGCAGCCGCGCGCCACAGCTGGGAGACGGGCCGGAGGTCGAGCTGATCGCCTAGCGCGGCGAACGCTTGCGGGTTGAATTCCAGCTGTGTCGGCGCGTAGCCTGCGGACGAGAAGCGCTCGAGCGCTTCGACAGAGAGCGCGTTTGCGTGTGCCGCTCCGAAGCCTGGCAGCCACTTTTGCACAAACTTGCACAGGCGCAGGTTCTCGGGCGCTGCGCTCCGCACCGCTGCGTCCAGGTTTTCGCCGTACTGCTTGGCGATCAGCTGCGAGGCGTGCTCGCAGAGCCAAGCAGTAAACGCCTCTCGCGCGCAGCGCTCAAGCAGCGCTTTCGGCTGCTCGCCGCCGGCTGTGACGCCCGCGGCAGAGAGCGCGCCGCGGAGCCCTTCCGCGAACGCGCCCAGTCCGTGCGCAGCGAAGTACGCGTAGTTGGTGCACTTGTGCAGCACTTTGCTCGTCGTGTCGGCCGCAACGCCGTTGGGGCAGTAGGGCAGCAGATAAGGACCTCCAGCGCAGCGGCACGCCGCGCACTGCGCGGCCGTGTCGCGCGGAGCCGCTGGAGGGCGGAGTGTGTCCTCGACGAGCCGCAGATCGGAAGCGCGAAACACGCTTTTCAGAGCGCGCAACGTGTCCTCGACGAGCTCCGGCTCCCAGGCTACGAGCTCCGAATCGCGCTCGTCGGGCATGTGACGGAAGCTTCGCAGCAGTGTGCTGGCGCTTTGCGAGTTTGCTGCGGCCGGCCTAATGTTGCGCCACAGACTAGCCCGGGCGCGGTTTTATTAACGGTTTTTTCGGAGGCTTAAGATTTGTCGCCATTTTCGACTCTAGCAACGTAGCTCTGATGCGCGTGCCGTAGACTGATGTCGCGCAGCGACGAGCACTCTGACGAAACCGCGGATCGGCCGGTTGCTGCGCTCTGCGCCGACCGCCTAGCGGAGCCTCTCGCTCCGGATAGCGAGAAGCTTGCTGCGTCTCATAGAAAATCTGCAGTCGCAGACGCCTCTCAGAAAGCTGCTCCGGTTACAGAAGGCGCGCTAAAGCGCGAAAACAGGCTGCTGCTCTGCTCGGACACCGCGGAAAGCGCCGAGGAGCGCGAGAAAAGTCTATGCCGTTGGTGCTCATGCGCCGCTCCAGACTGCGGTAAGCAAACAGCCGCGCTTCTCGCGAAGCACGAGAGCGACTTGCGTTGCGACAGCAACGCTGCGGAAACCGAGACTAGCTACCAGAGTGAGCAGCGCAAGGGCGAATCGTCCACACTGTCTACAGGCGGTCCGGAGCAGTTGAAACGCCTAAAACTGAAACCAGAAGCGCGAGATTCAAGTCAATCACACAATCCGTTGCTCGACGGCGCAGAAGCGTCGCCGCGCAGCTGCGGCGCTCGCTTTGAAGTCTTGCCGGCGGACGACGAGTCGAGACTCGGCGCAGCGCGTGCCGTGGAATGCGCCGGAGGTGCGCTCAACAAGACGGCCTCGGCAGACTGCGCGAGCCACGGAGCGAGCGACTGCGCGTGTCACTGCGCGTGCCACCGCCCGCGCGCGTGCGCCGCCGAATGCGGTAACTGCGTGCGTCGCGTCTGCGACCTCGTCAGCAGCAACCCGCTCATAGATTTCGGCGACGTGCTGCGAGCGACGCGGTTAGACAGCGAACTGCGGCAGTTGAGCGAGCAGCTCGGTGCGCAGTGCACTCCGCAGCACGGCGCTTACAGCGGCGCGGCTGCCTCCTTGTCAACGCTCGAACGGCTGACCAGCTGTCTGCTGGCGCAGGAGAAAAGCACGCTCGCCGAGTGCCGCGCCGAAGTTCGCGCTGTCGTGCTGCTGCTCTGCCGCGCGGTTCAGCAGCTGCGTGCCACAGTAGCTGCGGACAGTGGCGTCGCGCGCAACGCGGAAAACGCACCGTGCGTTGCGCAGCTCGCGGCCGTGCTCGCGGCGCTGGAGGCTGCCAATGGGCCTGAGCTGCAAACGGAGCTGCGCCGCGCGCTGCGCGACCAGGTCTCTGCGAGCGAAAACAGTTCGCTCGAAGCCGAGTTCATAGTGGAGACAGCACAGCCGCCGGGCGCAGCGCCCGCGCCGCTCTCGCCCGCTGAGCGTGCGCGACTCGACTGGGTCAACGCGTTGTTCGCTACACCGAACTGCTTCGCAGCGGACCACCCTCTGCTGCAGGCGCTCGACGCGGCCGCGTTCGCACCCAGCGCGCCAGCGGAGGAACAACTCGCGGCGCTAAAGACAGACGACGCGATGAACCCAGCGGCTCGCCCACCGGTCGCACAGGTGCTGGCGTCTGCACTGGGGCGCGAAACTGCTCTGCAAATTGACCGCGGAACGGAAGACGCACTGGACCGCGAAAGCGGCAACCACGCGCAACGCGACACGGCGCGAAAGGCGGAGCCGAAAACAGAGCACGCGGCAAAAAGCACCGCAGAAAGCACCGCAGAAAACGCCGCAGAAAACGTAGCAGAAAACGCCGCAGAAAGCGGCGTGGAAAGCGTCGCGGAAAGCGGCGCGGAAAGCGGCGCCGAGGCCGGAGGCGAGGTTTCTAAAGCGCGCTTTTGCTCGGCCGCGGCTCGCGCCCAGGGCAGTGCGGGCGCGCCGCACTGCGGCGCGCAGCAGCTGGAGGACTTATTCCAAGCGCTGCAGTTGGTGGCGCGCGAAGCCGCGCAGGGCGTCAGCGCGGAAACGCTGCACGCTCTCGACGCGGTGCTGAACGAGTTCGAACTCACGTGACGCGCGCCGAACGCGTCGAGAAACGCGTCGCCAAACGCGTCGCCAAACGCGTCGCCCCGGCGCGTCGCTAAAACGCACGCGCTTCGTAGTCTTTGCTGTTCGTGAGGTAGCGCACCCACGGCAGCGCGGGATAGCCGCTGCTTTCCGCAATTCTGAGGTACTCGACGCGCAAGTTGCTCGCGGTAAAGAACGGAATTTCGAACTCGAGGCGCAGCGGGGAGCGCGTCCACGTCTTGAACGCTTCGCGGCCGAGCCGCGAGCGCGCCGCCTTTATTGAAAGCTCGCGCTGCTCGCCGCCGGTCATTAAACTGAGGTGCCAGACCACGGCGTTGAGGCTCGGCGCGTAGTGCGCAGAGCCGCCGCCCGGCTTCGTCTTCGGCTTCGAGATGTTGGACGGCGTGGGCACAATCACCTTGACGAAGCGCGCAGTGATGCGCTCCGCGAAGTTCGCGCGTAGCCGCACGACCAGCTCGAATGCGACCGCTTCTGGGTCGAGCGTGTTGTGCAGGTGCTGGCAGGTCACGGTGAACGGCACGTCGGCGAGGTGTTCGCGGCGAATGGAGTAGCTGAGCAAGTCGAACTCGCCGTCCGGCGGGATGAAGGTGATCTCCTTTTCCGCGCGGAAGCGGTTGAGCCGCACGCACGGGTGGAAGCGCAGCTCTTGAAGTTTGTCGCTCTTCACGCACTCCACGAGGTCTGCGCGACTGGCGCTGCGCGCGGCGTCTTGGCTCGAGAGCCCGACGCGCGGCTGCGCGGCCGGCTGCGCGAAAAACAGCCCGAGCTTCAGCTCGGGCAGCCCGCTCAGAAAAGACTTCATGCGCACCACGCCAGAGACGCCGCTCTCGAGCGCCGCGCCGTCCGGCCCGAGCGCCGCTGAGAAAGACTCGACGACGTCCACGTAAATCTCGTTCTTGCGGTGCTTCACGGAGTTCGCGCGCCACGCGATCGCCGAGTTCATCGGCGTCGCGCCGCTCTCCGCGGCGCGCGCGCCAAGCATGCTGCTTAGCAGCTTCAAATCCGTCTGCTGCAGCTCTCCGCCGACGACCGCTTCGTCGAGCGCGAGGTTCACCTCGACAAACTTGTTCGAGATCGCGCCGCGCGACAAGCTCCCGGCGATGTACGCAATCACTTCGGTCGCAAAATCAAGCGTCTTCATCAGCGCACCCGCGGAGCAGTCGCTGCGGCTCGCGACGCCGAGCACGCACAAGTCGTTCGCGTGCTTGCTGACCAACGCAAAGCGCTCGAAGAAGACCAGCGGCGCAAACCACACGTTCGGGTTCTGCAGCTTCAGCGCGAAGTTGAAGTCGTCGAATGGCTGCGCGCGGTCCAACGTCACGTGCTGCTCTGCACGCAGCGCATCGTGCTCGAGCGAGGCGGCGTAGCAGCGCGCTTGGAAAAACGCGGACGCCACGCGGCGGTAGTCGGTGCCCGTTTTGTACTCTTTTTGCAACAAGAAGCCCTTGCTGTCGAGCACGAACAGCGCTTCCAACATCGCTGAGGCCGGCGCCGATTTACGGCGCGCTTAATGAAAATTGATATTTTGCGCTCATTTAACCGAGTCCGCGCGTACGGCGCCGCGCCCGCGCCGTTCTCTTGCGAACCGCCCGAGCGTTTCTTCGTGTTCGCTGCGCTCAGTGCGCTGACAAGAAATTAATTTTGATTAACACTATTTGGCAGAGAACGCGTTCGCGTCGAAATTGTCGCTCAGCGCAGTCGCGGCCCCACAGCTGACAGTGCTGGATGCTGCAATGCGCGGTCGCGTTGACTGTCTGGGCCTCGAACACCGGCAGTTCCCGGTGCGGCTCGACGCCTACGAGACGCTCGCGATGCTTGGACTCGGCGGCTATTCGCTCGTACGACTCGTGCGCCTGCGCGGCACCGCGGAACTGTTCGCGATCAAGCAGGTGGCGCTCTGCGATATCGTGGACGAGTACCAGCTGAAGCTAGCAATGACCGAAATCGAAGTCTTCTCGGCGGAGAAGAGCTACACGCGGCTGTACTGCTCGATGCAGCGCTACTTGCGCGACGCGCGGCACGAAGCATCGCGCGAGCGCTACGTGAAAATCATGAACTTGATCAAAACGCACGCCAGCTCGCTGCTGCTGAAGTGCTTCGCGAGCTGGCACGACGACCACTTCCTGTACATGCTGCTCGAGTACACGCCGGGCTGCGACCTGATGTCGCACCTCGTGCCGCTCAAGCGGCTCGACGAGCGCGCCGCGGCGACGCTGCTCGCACAAGTGCTGCTCGCGCTCGGCTACCTGCACGACTTCGTCGGCTTTTGCCACCGCGACATCAAGCCCGACAACGTGCTGATCGACGCGCGCGGGCAGCCGAAGCTCGCAGACTTCGGGCTCGCGCGCGCGCTGCCGCTGGTGCTGCTGGACCAAAGCAAGCCGGCGGCGCGCGAGACGTTTTACTCGCCGATGGGCACGGTAGAGTACATGCCGGTCGAAATCGTGCGCGCGGCGACGCCGTACACGCGCGTCTGCGACTTTTGGTGCGTCGGCGTGCTGATGTTCGAGATGCTCGCGGGCGAGATGCCGTTCAGTCTGCAGGGCGGCTCGAAACGCAAGCTGAAACAGAGCATCCTCGCACACGGCACGCTGCTGGACCACTGGCCGTCGCACGTGCCGCTCTCGGCGGCCGCGCGCGACCTGCTGCAGCGGCTCATTGCGGAGCCGCAGCAGCGCTACTCCAACGTCTACGCGGTGCTCTCGCACCCCTGGTTCGCGCAGGTCCAGCTCGACGAGTTGTTCTCGCAGCCGAGCCCGCTGCGCATCGACCCACAGAGTCTCGCGAGTCGTAAGTACTTCGCGCGGCACTCGCTCGACGAGTTGAGCGCGTGGGAGCTCGCGAGGCGCGTGCCGCCGAAGTTCCCCGGCGTGCTGAGCGCGCTGGCGCGCTACCGCGTTCCGCGTCGGTTCCGCGCGGACTGCGCGGGCGCGCCGGGCGGCGGCTGGCTCGCGGACATCGCGGCGCGGCTGAGCGCTGGGCGCGCGCGCGAGCACGCCGCGCTGCTCGCGTCGCTGCCGGCGCAGGCGGACGCGCGGCGGCCCGTTTTTCAGCTGCTGTACGCACCGCGCGCCGAGGACGCGCTCGAGCTGAAGAGCGAGTCGGACGCGGTGTCGACAAGCGGCGAACACAGCTCGCCGGTCAGCGAGACGGCCGCGGAGAGGTCGACCGCGTTCGCCGCGACGCCTGCGCAGCGCGCGGACGCGCAGTGCGGCGCGCGGGCCAACTTGCTGCAGAGGCAGAAATCGTTGGTTTTTAGTTACTACAAGCAGTTCGCGCGCTACCCCGACGCTTAGCGCTATTTTTAGATTAGTCTAGAAGACCTATTTTTGTTTTTCGCGTGCATTTTTGATCGGCTCTCGCGATGGACGCGCAGGCGGAGAAGACGATGCTGGTGGACCTGGGCTCCGCGTACGTGAAGTACGGCGCGGCAGCGACGCCCGAGCCGCAGGGCCTGCTGCCGAGCATCGCGGGCGTGCCACGCGCGCGCTTCGAAAGCGAGTTTAGTGAAAAGCTGTTGGTGGGGCTCGACGCAATCGAGCACCGCGCGAAGCTGAACTTTTTCGACGTGCTGGAGCGCGCGCACTTGAGCGACGAGAGCATGCTCGACGAGCTGCTGGAGTTCATTTTGTACAGCGAGGCGGAGCGCGACGTGGAGCGCGTGCTGGTCGCGCTGCCGCTGCGCGCGGAGCGGCTGTTGGTGGAGCACATCGCGGAGTTCGTCTTCGAGTACTTGGGCTGCGGCGCGCTGGCGTTCGCGCTGCAGCCGGTGCTCAGCGTGCTGGCGAGCGGGCGCAGCAGCGGCGCGGTGCTCGAGGTGGGCGGCGGCGTGGCGCAGAGCCTGTGCATCTGCGACGGCTCGGTGCTCGCAGACACCGGCGAGCGCGTGGACTGCGGCGGCAAAGACGTAACGCAGCTGCTGCAGTTGCTGCTGAGCCAAAAAGGCTGCCAGCTGACGGGCATAGACGAGACGCAGTTCGTGCGCTCGTTGAAGGAGAAGTCTGCGGAAGTGTTGCTGCCCGGCGACGAAGCGCAGCGCGACGCGCTCGCGCAGGAGCTGGACGTCGAGCTGCCCGACGGCGTGGTGCTGCGCAATGTCGCAGGCCGCCTGCGGCTGGGCAGCGAGCGCTTCGCCTGCGCGGAGCTGCTGTTTTCGCCCAGCGAGTTCGGCGCGGAGCACGCGGCGGTGCACGACTTGCTGTGGAAGTCGGTCTCGAAGGCGCCGATGGACTGCAAGACCGCTCTGATCAAAAACGTGCTGCTCACCGGCGGCAGCGCGCTGCTCACCGGGTTCGAGCAGCGGTTCGCGTTCGAGTTCGGCGAGCGGCTGAACGCGACGCAGGCCGCGCTCAGCCGCGTGCAGACCGCGCGCGCGCCGATGTACTCCGCGTGGACCGGCGCGCAGCTGCTCACCGAGTCGCGTCTGGACGACTTGTGGCTCGCGCAGAGCGCCTACGCCGACTCCGGCACAGAGGCGTTCGTGAAGCAGGTCGCGCTTTAGCTACCGCTGCTGCGCGTGCTGCGCAGAGCGCGCGCCAAAACTCGCATTCAAGTCGCGCTGGACGTCGTGCTGGCCGCGGCCGGCGAAGCGCTTTGTGCGCTCGCGTCGCCGAGCAGCGTGCAGTAGGTTTCGAGCCGGCGCAACTCGCTGTGCAGCGAACGCACGTGGTTGGTTTGCACGCGCGCCACGTCGAAATCGCGCAAATATTGCGCGGCGGCATCGCGCGAGTCGGTGACCGCGCGAATCAGCACTTGGTACTTGAGCGCCTCGACGTCAGCGAGCTTCGCAGCAGGCCGTAGCCCGAGATTGGTCGTCGAGTCCGCGAGCCACGCTTTGTAGCGGCGCACGAACTGCAAAGCGCCCTTCGAAACGGACGGCGCGAGCGGGTCGCAGAGCGCCTCGAAGTACCGCTCGAGCTCGTCGGCGCGCTGCAAGTGCGCGGCCGCGCAGAAAAGCGCGAACTTCAGCTCCCCCTCGCACCGCTGCAAGTCCAGCTGGCGAAGGCACTCGAGCGCGTCCACCAGCAGCGTTCGCGCAGGCACCTGCGTGACCCGCTGCTCCTCTGCTTCCGAGTCCGGCAGCAAACGGCGCAAACGCTGCGGCGCGGACGACGAGGGAGGCGCCTCTGCGCGCAGCTCAATGCGGCCGGCGTCCGCGGCCAGCAAAATCAGAAGCTCGGCTGCGTAGGGGAATGCGCACTCGCGAATGAGCCGCTCGTACTCGCCGACCTCCAACGCGCTTGTCGCGGTGAGCACGTCTAAATAGCGCGAGTAGAAGCCGTACAAGTCGTTCATCATTTTCTGCGTGGCCGAGTAGCGCACCCGCGAGTTTCTGCACAGCGCGAGCGCCTGCACGAAGTGTCCGCCGTCGAGCAACGCGCCGATGAGCGAGCACTCGAAGACTACATCCTCGAGGTCGACGCGAACCGCCGGGGTCGCAGACTCGCCACAGTAGAACTGGGACTCGAGCTCTGCGATGCGCTGGAGGTCGAGCGTGTGCACGTAGTAGCCGCACGCGTTCATGAACAGTTCCTTGCTTTTGCACACGGTTTCGGCGAAACGGCAGAGCTCGCGCGCGGCCGCGTCCGCGTCAATCAAGCCGAACTCGAAGCGGCAGCGCGTCGTATAAATCACGAAGCTTTCGTCGTCGCGAAAGAGCGGCTCGATTGCGGCGAAGCACGCGAACGGCTGGTCGCTGCGCGCACCGCGCATCGATTCCTTGTGCAGCTCGAACAGCTCGGCGAGCATCTGGCACAGCGCGCGGCCTTTCTCGCTGCAACTCGGACGCGAAGCGAATTCGGCGATAAACGCCAAGATGCACGCGTCAAGCTCGTCGCTCACAGACAGCATGTCCATCACGAGCGTCGCGGCGCCGAACGCGCCCGCTTGCAGCTTCGCGCTGAGCTCCTTGTCAAGCACCGTCGCGACGTCTGCCGCATTTGTCAGGAAGGGCAGCAGGACGTAGGTGAGGTCGGTTTTCGTCAGCGCGCTGAGCTGCGCCACGGCGTCGCGCAGCGTCTCCCGCGCGTTGTTCGAGCCCGACTCCGTCAGAAAGTCGAGATCGACGTTCTTTCTCTGCGTTTTTGACGACTGCCGGCTCTCGCTCGGTTTCGCGCGGGTCAACGCGTCGTCCTTCGCGGCGCCTTTCGCGCCGCCTTCCGCGGCGCCTTTCGCGCCGCCTTTCGCGCCGCCTTTCGCACCGTTTTTCGCGCCACCTTCCGCGCCAACTTTCGCACCGCCTTTCGCGCCGCCTTCCGCGCCTGACTGTGCAGACGCGCCGGCCGCGCAGCCCGACAGCAGCGGCGGGTCATCGTCGCTGAGCTTCAGCCGTCGCAGCAAGAAGTGCCACAAGCTGCACGGCGCCTCAGCGCGCTGAATCTTGCACTCGAGGATGTTTGCGCAATAACTGCGGTACGGCAGCGCAAACGCGGCGAGCGCAGGGCGCTGGTGCACTTGCAGAAAACCCTGTACGCCCGTAAACCACTTCGGGTAAAAGGCGAGCGGGACCGCTTTTGAGCCGCTCCGCGGCAAAAGCTCTTCGACTCCCGAGAAAGTGCTCAGGTACGCAAGGACCGCGTCTAGGTCGTTCGGGAAATCCTGCAAGTGCGCGAGCAGCTCGGCGCGCGCGTCTAGCAGATGCCCGCTCTGCAGCGCCGCCGGCACGACGAGCCCCGCCAAGCTCATCTGCAGCGCGGGCTGCAGCTCAGCAGTGCGCAGCGGCTGGAGCGCCTCGTACGCCTCGCGGGCGCGGCCCAGCTGCAGCAAACAGTGCGCGCGCAGGCGCACCAACTGCTGCACAGCGCCAAGCTTGCGAAACGTCGGGCACAGCTTCGACCGCGGCCCGAGCGCCTTTTCCAACAGCGCCAGCGTCTTCTGATAGTCTCTCAGCATCATGAGCGACAGCAACGGGTAAAATGGCCAGTCGGGCATCACGTCGTCCGTGAGGGACGCGATGTGCTGCGCGAAGCCTTGTTTGTCGTTGAGCAGCACCAGCAGGCTCGACGCCGTTCGCGCCAGCTTTGTCGAGAACGCGCCCTGCTCCGCGATCTTGCGCACCGCCTGCGCCAGTTCGGCGTACTGCAGCCACTCCATCAGCAGCAAACACTCGGACAACGCGATCAGGCTGTTGTTCGGATCTGCGCTGCGCGCATCGCGCAACAAGGTACGCGCTTCCGGGTTGTAGCGCTTCTGCAGGCCGAGTGCGAGACCGTGCACTGCAGATTGGACCGGAGAAAGCGTGCCGCGCGCGGCGTGCTCGCCGGAAAGCTCGAGCGCTTTTTTGTAGTTGCGGTCGCGAATCAGGCGCATTACCTCGTTGACCTGAGCCGTCTCAGCCTCGGCTAGTTGCGACGCCCAGTCGCTCATTGCTAACTACGAGAGACGATCTATAATTAAAATATAAACTGCAGCTTCTAATTTCCGAACGGCCATCCTCGCGGCGATGTCGCCAAACAGCCGACTCCTGTTGGCTGCGGCGCGCAGCTGCGTCGCCGCGCCAGACGGCGCACTCAGCAACAAGCTCTTTTCGCTCGTTGAGTTCAGCGACGGCTCTTTCGGTCTGGTGCGCGCAGACCGCGCCGTCGCGCCGGCGACGCGACCCACGACCTGTGCGCTGCGCGCAGCAGCTGCCGAGCACAGCTACCGCTGTCTCCTGTTCGCTGACGCAGCGGAGCCTGCGCCCCCTGCCGCAGACGCAGCGGCTGCACAGAGCGCACAGTTGACGCAGGAGTTTCTCGAAAGCTAGCGATACTCGAACTCGCGCGGGTAGTAGTCGTGCACGAGAGTGCCTGCGGCACAAACCGCGAAACTTACAGCGCGCGTTCTCGCAGGTGCCCGAACAGCAGCGGTAGCGGTGCGAGCACTTCGCGCCGAGCGCGAGACAGCTGACGTGCGTGCCGAAGAACGTGCCTTTGCCGCGAAAGTCCGCATAGTGGTGCGAGCGCACCGCGGCGTTCGCGGGAAAGTTGACGCCCACGTAGTCATCGAAGATGGCGGGCAGGAACGGCCACGGCGAACCGCCGTAACTGATGTTCGTGCCCACGCCGAGCATGGCTGCGTTGTACACGCGCGGACCTACCGTGCGCGCCTCTCGCCGCGAGCAGCGCGACGAGTGTTCTAACCATATCCGCGTTTCTCGCGCGCGAAATAAAAACGCAAGTTCACACGGTTCTCGATGTGCACGGAGCAATCGTTCACAAGGATGTGGACGCACGGCGCACTCGCGGTCAGCGCGACTTTGATCCCCTTGCCGAGATCTAGCGCGGCCTGGTGCTGCGCCTGCCGGTGCCAGAGCGCCGCGGACTTCAAACGCCGCGCGTGCACACTTTGCGCGGGCGGCGAGCACTCGACGACCACGTCGCCGAACTTAAGCAAACTTGCCTCGCCCGCTTCGGTCTTTCGCAGCCACGTCTCGTAGGGCGCCGCAACAGATCGGTTCTTGCTGGGCAGCACCTCCGCGACGCACTTCGTCGCGTACAGCATCTGCGCTTTGCCCTCAGGCTCCGCGACGCTGATCGCGTCGCTGTCCGCACCCGACGCGCTCCCGTCGAGCGACAATCTGATGTACATGCTTTTGTCCTGTATGCTTACGCAGAACGGACACGTGCGACAGAAGTCGCTCAAGAACGGCTTGAAGGAGTGGTAGTAGCGCTCGAGCTGATCTTGCGCCTCGCGCACGAAGCCCTCCACGTTGTCGCGCACTGCTAAGCCTGTTTCGACGCTGGTAAACTCCACTTCGCCGCGGCTGGTGACACGCGTACCAGAGGCAGCAAAGCGGGAGTGCATCCTGCGCAGCGCGTCGCGCGGCAGCCGCGGGACGCGCTCGTTTGCGAAGATGTCGTGGCTGAAGAGCGATCGGAAGTACGGGCTTTCTGAAAGCAGTGCTACGGACTCGCTTGACGCGCCGTTATTGTACGGAATCGCGTGCTGGTGCTGCAATAGCGGCAGCGCGTCGCGCTCCGCGCCAAGGTTGAATGGCGTGTTGGATTTCCGCAGCATTGCCGAGCCCAATACGTCAAATAATGTGCAAAGCTCGAAAATGTGCAGAGGGAATGCGCAGAGACTAGACGCCGAGCGGTTCACCGACAACCGCAGCGCTACAGAGCTGGCTGGCAAAGTTTTGCCGGTACGGCAACACGTTCTGCTGCATGTGGTTGTACAACTTCACGCGCTTGATTTCGTTGTACCGCTTCACCGGCAAGTAAACGAAATAGTAGAGGGCTTTGCAGGCGATGTAGACGCCGATCAGCGCATAACAGACGTTCTTCAGGTTGACTGTTAGCGGCGGCGTGGTGTAGCTCCAGCCGACCACCGTTTCGTACAGCGTGGCCAATTCAGTGCGCATTTTTTGTGTCTGGAAAACTTCTCGCGGCGCGCAGCCACCGCGCCACCGCGCGGCGGCGCTACGTGCCGCGCTGTTAGAGCTCGTTCCGATTGATCAGCACAGTGATATATTTAAACTGCGCGTAAGACATCGGCTCATAGGAATCAATCGTTCTGTGGCGCACTTTCCCGCTTTCGCGGTCGAGGTACGGCACGTGATATTCGAAGACGCGCGGCTTGATGCCGCGGTGCCGGGTGAGGAATGCTTTCCAAATAGCGAAGTTGGAGACTTTGACCATTTTCACTTACAATTTTGCGTGCTTGCGCATGCTCTGCGACGCGCGCGCGCCGCGCTAGAAAGCTTCGACGATTTTCTCCGCAAGCAAGTGCCGCTTGAGGCTCATGTACGCGCGGAACTTCTCGACGACGAAAAAGAGGTAATCGAACTGCACGCTATTAAAAATGTTCTGCGCGTTGAGCAGGCCCCAATACACCGAAAACAGCTGCACGAAAAGACTCATGAAAAGCACGGCGTCTACGCTGAGCGCGAAGTCGGACGGCGCGGGTACCTGCTCGAGCGTCGCGCGGCGCGCAAAGTACGGGCGCAGCGCCGCCTCAATTCGCGCGCGAGAAGGAAATTCGGCAGCGGAAGAAATGAAACGGAAGTACGGCGCGGAGTCAACGTTGTAGTCAGTCACCATTTCAGTGAAGATCACAGCGAAGTCGTAGGCGGGGTAGTTGCAGCCGGCATATTCGTAGTCGATGAGCTTCACTCCGCTTGGCGCGCGCAAAACGTTAAGGCTGTGGATGTCATTGTGGCAAAACGCGCGTTTCATCAGAGCACAGTTTTCGAAACGCTGCGTGCAGCGCTCCGAACGCAGGTACTCGAGAAGCGCGCTGGTCTCCGAAAACACAGTGTCGAGCTGCAGCTGCTGCAGGCTCTGAACGCGGCTGCGTTTGAAGATGTAGGCCATTTGGTCTGCTGAGAGCACGTTATTCTCCGCGCTGAGCCACATGCGAAATACTTCCTTGCGCCAGCGCGCAAAGTCTTTGAAGAGTTTGACGCGCTGCTCGCAGACGGCCGTGAAGTACGGCGAGCGCAAGTGCAGTACGTGCAGTTTCGCGACCTCTTCCACGATCAACACGAGAAAATGCTCGGAAGCAAACTCCACTGAGCTCAAGTGCCCGCCAGGCAACCACTCCTCGATACGCCCGTCCGGGAAAGAGCTGAGCAGCCGTGGTGCAATACCCTCGCGGGCAAGCTGGCGAAACGTCTCGAGCTCTTCGTTGTGGTCGTAAAGCGCGACTGTGTTGCTGCCGTAGAGACGCAGCAGCACTTCGCTCGGCTGCGCGTCCGACAGCTGCGCGCCAGACAGCTGCGCGCAGTAGAGATTGTTGGTGAGCCCGGCGCAGAGTTTGGTCAGGTGAATGTCTGCGCAGTCAACGTCTGTTTTGAGTTGGCGAGTGAAGTACTGTTGCACGTGCAGCTTGTAGTTCTCGAGCTTCTCGCGCTCAGCCTGCTCCGAGGCGCGGCAGAAATTCATGGAAGCCGCGCGATCAGCGAAAAACGGGGAGGGGGCTCAGAATTGTATTAATTATTAGCTTATTCCGTTTGCGGCGATAGCGCTTTCTACCGCATGGCTACCGCGGACTCCGAGACGCGCTCGCGCGTCGTATCTGTGCTCAGCGCGTTGCAGGGCTCTGAGTACTGCTTCTGTCTGACCGACTCAAACACCGACGTTTACTTGTTTCTCGAGCGCGTAGAACTGTTGTCGGGACACGCCGAAATCATCGGTGTCACATACCTGAGTAACGAAGACGCCACCACGCGGCTGCAGCTCTGCGCGGTCAAAGAGACGCTGGTCTACCCGATCGGCGACTTTCTGTTCAGCGACGCTGCGTTCTTCAAAGTGCTGCCGTACCTCGGGCTCCCGCACGGGATCCTGGTCTACTCGCAGGAAGGCTTCTGTGTTATTGACGTCGACTTCGCCATCGCCGACGACTACCAATTCCGGCTGGTGCCGGCGGACGACGAACGCACGCGCTCCTGGCAGCTTTACTACGCGCACTTGCTGTCGAAGTTTCCGGCTCCGCGCTCCGAAGACATCTTTCTGCTGCTCCCGGAGCGCCTGGCGCTCGTGGTCGTCAAAACGTCCGCGAAAGTCGCCGTCTGCGTCTTCGAGATCACCGCAGCGCTGGACTTGCACTTCAAGGGACTGTTCCGTTTCAGCCAGGTGCAGTTCTGCGGCGTCGATTTGGTTTACGCGGCCAGCACGAGCGTGAGCGTGCCTGCGCACCAGGCGATGCTGCTCTGCTACGACATGAATATCAACAGTTGCCAGCTGGCGCCGAGCGTGGCTCGAATCAGCTGCACGCTGCCCGCGCGCTTCCCGCTCGTCCGGCTCACCAGCGGCGCGCAAGAAGTGCTCGCCGCGCTACTGCGTGCAAAGATCTGCGTGCACGGGGCAGCGTACGAGGACTATGTGATGTACAACGAGTTCTCGTTGGAGCTAGCAGACGCCAAAGGCGCGGCTGCGCGCAGTACGCCGCTAGAGCGCGCGCCAAACCAGTGCTCCGCGATCAAACACGCTGAGATACAACAAATATTAAAGGGGTATATTCCGAATCTAAAATTTCCTGAAAACAAGAACTCTCCGGACCGTGTGGCAGCCGCAATTCTCGCAGCTTTTCCTGACTTGGACTGCGGAATGACTGGAAGACGCTCTGGAAAGGCTGCGGCCCTGCCTGCCGAGCGAGCTGCTGCGAAGTCGAAAGAGGCCTCGCGGCGGCGCAAGGGCAGCGACTCCGCGAACGAACCGTTGGACACAGATCCGTGGATTAAGAATCTCGCCGCGGACATCGTGCGGCAAACGCGCCGGTCGGACGAGCCGGTGCGCAAGCAGGTTGACTGGAAGAACGAGCTGCTCGACGAGCTGCGCTGCATGATCGCGGAAGAGATCGGGCGAGCGTTCGATCGGCTGCTCGCGGAGTTTGACGCGACGCGGCTGCTGAGCACGTACAGCTCCGCACACGAGCTCGACCCTGCGATCGCAAAACCCAGCGAGCTGCTGCTTTCCGAGTGGTTCAAGCGCAACGCGGAGAAGGCGAAGGACGCGCTCGCGGGTGCCCACCCGGGCCCCGCTGCGGGCGCCGTTGCGAGCGGCATTGCGAGCGGCATTGCGGGCGTCGCAGACAAAGCCGGCGTCCGCGTTGACGTCGAAGACGTGCTGAAAATTACGCACGCGGACGCGCACGACGCGTTCGAAGAGAAGCTGCGCGAACTATACAGCACGCGACTGCTCGGACAACCCGGCAAGACGTGGCTAACGCACCTCGCGCTGTTCGACACGCAAAATGGCACGCACGGGCTGTTCGCGGCGCTAGCCGCGCAGAAGCTGTTGCCAGAGCAGGTGCGGAGCTCGCTTTTCCTTTTGCTGTTCGTCTGCGACGCTCTACTACAGTTCCTGTTGTGCCGCGCCGCCGCAAACACGCCTGAAGGCTGCGTCCAGTGCCCCGCAGCGCTGGCGCCGCGACAGTTACGTTTTCACGACGCGCAGCTGCAGCTTTGTACCATGTCCTGCGCGCAGTTGTTCGAGGACCCTGCGCTGCAGCGAGCCGCGGCGGCCTGGATTGCGCGCGCGACGATTTTCGTGCTGAGCGAAACCAGAAAGCAGCGCGCAACGCTCTCGACGACGCTGGCTGACCCGCGCTTCGCAGCGCTGATACACGCATGCGACGCGCACCTGCAGACCGCGCACAAGACGAAGCCGCTTTTCGAGGCGGAGCTCGGCGCGCTGGCGGCGGCGGTGGAGCTGCTCAAAAGCGAGTTGCCGGCGCAATGAAGTCGCGGCCCTCGACGAGTTCCAGGTCGCCCTTTGCGTTGAACGAGTACACCAGCTCGGGCTTCGCCGCGCCCGCGGCGGGCACTTCTGTGAGCTCCAGCGTCTCTTGCGGCGACTCGCGCTTTTCGTCGGCTTCCGCGCCGTTTTCCGCCTCGGCGTCTTCCGCCTCGGCGTCTTCCGCGTCGTTCGCTTTTTCCTCCGCAGCGTAGCGCTCCTGCAGCCGCTGCACGAACTCGCGCCAACGCTCGTCGCGGGTCGAGAGCTTTGGCACCTGCACGTCGGCGCTAGCGCCGCGCTGCTGCGTGGCCGCGCGGTAGTTCTGCGTCGCGCAGCCCGCCGCCTCGTACAACGCGCGAACCAGCGCGTCGATCGCGCGCAGCGCATGCGGCTCCGCGGAGCCACAAAATGTGTGCAGCAGATTGTCCGAGTGCGAGCGGAAGCCGATGCAGTTTGCGAGGTTCGGGTGGTACACCAGCGGCAGCTGCAGCGAGAGCGCGGGGTACACGAATTCCTTCGTGGCGAGCCGCACAGCGACGTGCTCGTTCTTGACTTGCACGCCTGCACGCTCCATGACGAACGGGAACACGGTTTTGTCGAGAACGTAGAGCACGCCGAACTCGCGTTCCGCGGCGCAGACGTTGCCCGGCGCGAACGCTAGCTCCGCGTCAAATTCGCGCATGAGCTGCTCGAAGCTCAGCGGCGGCTCGGCGACGGTCAGCGCTTGCGTGTCGAGCAGCCACTTCTGCGCCGCGCAAGCGCCCAGAGTCGCCAGCACGCGAAACATGTCT